GCATTTTCTAAAGCTCACCTGCTCTTCTGGAGCTTTAAATGTTTGATTTAATTATTCCAACATGCTGCATAGAAGGGAGAGTGGATGAGAAAGTATGGGGGCTAAGAAAAAGGAGAAACGAGTGGAGATGAGAGAGAGAAGTCGAGGTAGAAGTCAAGAAGCAAAATCAAAAGGAAGAGAGTGGAAAGACAGTGGGGAGGAGGGTGAGGGAGATGAGAAAGAGCACATGCTGGAGGTGGCCTGATATAAGCTTGATTTACCTATTGTTAACCTACAGAAGAAAGAAACGGAAGTGGGAATACAGAATGCTTCGCACCAAGACGGCAGCTCATGCTCTGATGTGTCGGTTTCCAGGTTCTTGTTGCATGGTGTGTGCTGGGAGGACCGACAAGGGGGAGGGAGGGGCAGGGACAGACTGAAACCACCTACAGATGAAATGGGTCTCCCCTTCCCCCCTCGGTTCCCCCTGTACTCCCCCTACCCCCCAGCCCTCTGCACAGCTGCTGTAGCTCAGTTAGTCACTAACGAATCCAGGATGTCTTGTGCTGTGCGCTTGGACATCTGGTGGCAGCTGCCGCGCGCAGGTTTTCCTGCCCCACCTCCAGCAGCAGCGTAATAACTAACTGGGTATAGGGGTGTGAAGGTTGTGAATGGGGACTGGTACCGTGATCGCCTGCCTGTGCTCTGCTGGGAGCCATGTGGGTCAGCCAGGGACCGCGCACTTCGGGGCGGCGCTAGGGACAAGAAAGCTGATGGGGCCACACGGTCTGCTGCAGGAGAAACCTTGCTACAAAGAGTTTCTTATGGCCTGCTTGAGGGATTCTGGCTGTTAAGATTTTTGCCTGTGTTGGATTAGTGAGTTGTTTAGGGATCTGGGGCAAACCAGTAAAACAGGCTGATGAATCCACAGGGTAGGTGCCAATCTGGGTCGCTGCCTTTTTCAGAAGTAAACAACTGGGAGCCATTGTTCATCTTCCTAACTCTCTGCAGGACACAGGCTGTAAATTACATTGAGGAACAAAAGGTTGATAGGAGTAGAACCGGGTGCCCAACTTCCCAAGGGAGTGCTTTGCCCTCCAGCCAAAAGAGTAGCTTTTCTGGCTTAAACCACCACAGGCTCTTCTTGTGCCTTCCCATCAGCGCTCAGCCCCAGAAAAGTGCGCACTACAGGATTTGCTGCACTGAAGCATTTACAACTGTTTCCATTACAAAACCTGGTTTCAGGGTTTATCATGGAAATTAAATCCAGTCTGAAATGCAGGAAACAAGATTGCAGTCTGGGGACACAGGAGGAAATCTTATTAAGAATACCATATCTTATTGAGATTACAGCTAAATGGGTATAAAATCCTCCCTCCTCCACCGACACTGACTTACAGCCAGTCTCACAGACCAGCTGTAGTCTATGCGGAATGTACGCTGCCGTCACCAGAATTACCTAATGAGATTTTTGCTTTTTATATTCACCAAGACTATGTTCTTCAACTTACCATAACAAGCTTGAAATTTCCACCAAAATATGTTCAGAAAAAGATTTTTTTAATTAAAAAAAAAAAGTCTTTCTGCTGATAATAGAAAAATAAAAGTTTTTCAAATTAGGAGCTTCCTTTTTTGAAGTTTCTGTTTTCTACAATAGAAATGCCAGCTATTTTGATAGAAACAAAATTCCATTCTTCCCCCCTTTTCAATTATTCCCATTTGATAGTAAAAGGGATCTCCATTGGTGTAATTTTTTTCATCATAAGATGAGGTGCATTCACCTTCTGGTCTGTCCACATAATAAAATCCAAGTAAATGTGCATTACAGGAAGAAGTTGCCCAACTGAATTCAGTGGAATTTTGGCCTTTGATTTCTAGGCCAGAATGTCATCCTCTGTGGGTATTCCTGCAAAAATTTCTCTTTATATCGCTGTAAGCCATGCACGTTGCTTTTCTGGGCCTCCAACACAAGTAGTCTGTAATAGGATTTTTATCAAAATTAATTGGTGCTGGCTACAGTTCATGTATGTGATAAAATCACAAATGGGTTATTGTGGTGTTCCTGTACTATATTGCACCATCATAGATTCAGTATCTACTGTGTCAAAGGCTTCCCAGAAAAACACTTTTTCAAATGCTGAGGTTTTATCCTTTTTAGTTGTATTGTTTCATTCTCTTTTGAAAACTTAATTCATTTGGTACCATTTATTATTTTACAAAATTTTAGTGCCAGTAATTTAACTACTTGTTGCCAAGAGAGTAAGCAGATTCCAGAACCTCAAACTATGTGATTTGTGTTGCTACCAATAATGTCACTGGAACAAATCAACGATGGGAATAAACGGATAGGCTCAACTTAAAGCGATGCTCTGCTGTATTTCCTCAGCTGAAGATTCGTGTTAGGATTTTTCTGCTCCTATATACTAAGGTTATCCCAAGCTAAAGGAGAAGTTATATATTGCTCACAAAGAAACACCCACAACCAAAAATACTTTTCCCAGACCTGTACATCTTCTTTGACTGAATTTACTGGGCAGCATGAGGCTCTGCACCCAGGCTAAATTTGGACTTCTGTCTACCTCAGGCCAACATATTTTAGGGGAGAAATTCCATGTTTGGGTGAGAAAGAAGTGAATATTTTTGTGTCAGCTTTTTTACTTACTTGTTAACGGCAGCTCTTTGCAAGTGTGTGCCCTAGGCTGGCACATAAGCAGGCAGATGGCATGTGAAATGGACAAAGCTATGTGATATATACATACAGTTCATGAATTATTTCTGTGGTTTATCACATGAAATGACGCACTGTGATGAATTATTTTTCTTCTGTGCATCTGTCTTTTGCATTAGGTACTAGCACATCCATGCACCTGGTCTAAATGTACCTAATCTTAGCCCAATTTTATAGAGCAACAAGCAAGCGAGAGACTTTCCAAAGTGGAATACCACCCACCCCTGCCAAACACAAGCAGAAGGAGTGAGAAGTCTAAGATGCATATCAAATAATACTCAGAATTGAGAAAACAACCTGTTCATAATCTGGTGTTAGAAGGGCTAGAATTAGAAACTTCAGACCATGAAGAGACTAGGAATTTCCAGTCCTGGTAAAATAAGACTTTTGCCTCTGTACCATTTGCCCACATCCCTGAAATGGACATTATTCTCCATTTATCTGTGCCAAAGAAAACTTATTTCCATCTTTTCATTCCATATAATTGTCAATACAGGACCTTAACAGAGAGGTATTTTATGTTCATCAAAAAAATAAGACTCAAAGATACCTACATTTTAATTAAATATTCCATTCTTTTGTTTCATCCATAGGAGTGAATTTTAAAACTCATTTAGGAACTGAAGAAAAAGATATGCTTAGTAAACTTACAACGTGCATTAACTGTGCACCAGCATTTTAAATCCCACTAAACTTCATTCATATATTTTGATGCCAAAATATCTATAGCTATAAACATACAGGAATTCACAGAACTATTTCTTTTCCACTACTATAAACAGTAAGGTGTATAGGAGATTGTTCTTTCCTTGCTTTTAAGGCCATTTGTTTCAAAAGTAAAACTAGCATATTCACTAAATAAAACGTGTTTTATCTTTAACTTCAAAGTTGCTAGCTTCTTAATAAAAAGATTTTCACTTTAACCTTGTCCCATCAGATATTCTAGACCTGTAGAAAAAGCCTGTTGGAACCTGTTGCTAAAAATTTGGCTGATTGATTGAGGAAAGGATAGCCAGCCATCTCTAAGTCAAGAGTCAAAGAAAAGGCAAAGTCCTGAAAACCTCTTTGTGTAATGTTCTTATGCCTGTGGCTGGAAGGACCTGTCTGTATTTTTCCATTGTTTGTGTTAGCAGAGATTAAAAATTAATGAGAAAATTCTTTCAAGTAGGAGGATTGACAAAATGGTAATCTGATACAGAACTATTCATTCAAATTTGCTGAGTGAAACTGGAATCGGGACGTTACTGGCTGTCAGTCATTGCCACGTGTTCGTTGTTAAAGGTGAGGTGTACTGGCTTTGGTGATCCCTGAGCAGCCCCTCATTCCACTGCACACAAACCACTGCCACAGTTCTGCAGCTCTGAAGAGAGGCCAGTGTATGGAGATGCCATGAGAAACCGCTAAGGCGCACAACAGACATGCCTTTTGCTTATCTACAGGGGCTTTGAGGTTTTCACCAGGGATTTCACGTGGCATCTAGGGACATAAAACCCCACACTGCAATGAACATACGTCCCTCAGGAGCTGAGACTTTGTCTGAATGTCAAAGACTATCATATGTTCTCATCCTGCTTCTCTGCTTTGCAAATTGGCAATAGGAGGAATAATTCCTTCTGTACCTCCTATCATCGATACAATAAACCAGCAGCCTTAGTCCTCAGTACCACTGCTGGCACTGGCATTAGTTACCACTTCTGCTGGAGCAGCCTGGGCAGAGAAGCCAAGGGCAGAATGGGCTGTGGGAGACTGAACTGCCTTGACTTACCTTCTGCATGAGTTTATCCTCCAGGGATGAATAGAAATACTTTAGAAAGATTCATTGCAGAGCCGGTATTTTGCTTGTTCTAGATTGAACTGCAAAAAGAGAAAATGGTGAGATTGGGATGAAATAAGCAAAATATTTTGGCAAAACGTCCAGGCAGTTGTAGGTGCCTTGCTGGGGTTCAGAAACTCTAGTGCTTTATGCTCACCTGGTTTGCAATAATGAGGAGACTTTAAAATGCAGGAGGGGAAGCTTATAACAAACAGTGCCTTTCTGAGCTAACTCACAAGAGATTACACAAATTTTCCTGCAAGCGCAGAAAGTACAACTTTTGACGGTACTTGTGTAAGAAAAGGAGGTTCAGTGCCTCTTTAAAACCCGAGCGTGGCTGCTTAGTCAGTACTAGCTCCCCTCCCACTCGCCCTTCTTCCTCTGCTGGGTAACTTTTGTTGCAATATGGGTGTGACTTTTGATGGAGCTCCCCCTCCCAGTTATGTCATTACTTCAGTTTCTTTGAATCAGAATAAAAAGTGCAGCAAACTTCAGTCATTGACTGCAGGCTTAACAAGCGCCGGGGCTTTCCTTTCTGCAGCTTGCAAGGATCTCTGGGTTTTGCAAAACAGTTCTGAGAAAACAATGGCCAACTTCTCCTTATGGGCAACTTTTGGATTATGTTTGCTGAAGCTTTGCCTGGCAGAAACACGTAAGTTTTTTTTATGAATGAAAACGCTTATGGCTGCTAATAAGTTTATGCTTCAGACAGCAAGAGCTCTTCTGCTAGATAGCTAACAGCTTTCTTACATTTATCTTTATATAAAGTCGTGTTATTTGTAAGAGTTACCAGAGATGCTTTAGAACTGTAACCTCAGCCGTGCTGGTCTGTGCAATCGCAGAAAGCTGTATATTGCTTATAAAGGGCAATTCCAGATCTATAAAAAGTGAATTGTAGATCATCAAAGTTTAAACTAAGAACAGAAGTACATTAGGGAATTTAGAATAGCGCCGGTAAAGCTTAGTTCGACAACGTGACTGCTGCTACATAGTTTGCTCTCCCAGCTCTGGTTCAGACAGTAGAGAAAAGAGGAGGGTGGGGAGGATGGGGATG